GCTGAAAAGCCTGACCCTTTGGACCCTCGCCCATATGCCAGCCTTGTTATCGTTCACCCTGACAATCCTTCGACGCAACGGAAAATTGCTTTTCTCCTCGACATGGGAGCACAAATCAACGTCATAACACCTGCGACACCTCATAGAAAGACCTCGAAAACCATCATGGTACAAGGGCTAAACGCTGTAGCAACTGCTATAAGAGTCAAATTTTGGATACACAATTGCGACAAACCCCTTGAAGCAGTTCTAGGGGGCATGAACATCTTGGGCGTTCCAGGCATCAAGACGCTGCAGTTAAAAGGCTTAATAGTTCAGGCTCTTCCATTTTTCATTGCTGAGCCCGACCGACACCAACCTACGCTTCGTGACACATCTACCTGGCGTTATAAATCAATCCCGACCAAGCGACATCTTCGGGAAGCCCTTGTCGCCCTTTTACAGAGGCTCGAACAACAGGGATGTATAGTACCAGTAGCGGCCAGTACCCACCTATCGCCTGGGTGGGGAATCGCGAAGCCCGGAAAACCCAACGAAGTCCGACTTGTAGTCGATTTCCGTGAGGCTAATAAACGGTGTCTCCCACTTATGCAACCCAATGCTTTTACGCTAACCCAGTGTCTATATGAGATGGCAAGGTTTCAAGGGGGCAAGTGGTACGGGACAACCCTTGACCTCAAGGACATGTTTTTCTCCATCCCGATTATTGACAACAGCGGAATCCTAAACATCTGTGTCGAGGGTATGATGTACCGATGGACAGTATGCCTGCAGGGATATCACAACTCTCCTGCCTTGGCCACAGGCGCAATGAACGACACATTTAAAGACTTTCGAGCCTCCCATCCTTTGCCAGCGGAAGATAAAACTCAAAATTTGGAGTTATGTTGATGACCTCGCCATTATGGGTCGTGATCAGCAAGATGTTGCTGAGGTCACCCGCCGTCTAACCGACCATCTCCATGCTAAGGGCTGGACAGTTAATTTGAAAAAAATCAAACTTGCAACCCACAATGGATATTACATTCTTAGGCACCAGGTTTACCGGCGCAACTAGATCCGGTGTCACACACGACGAAACCCCGGAGCTCGGTACCCTCGAAGAGCCATTACCAATGCACAAGAAGCAATTTCAACGACTCTTGGGACATCTTAATTGGTATCAACATTACATCACTCCGCATTACCTTCCGATATTAGCGAGGCTCCAACGTCAGACCCGCGACAAGTTACGAAAAGCCACACCTTGGACGGACAAGGACAGAAAGGATCTTCATAATCTTCTCCACGCCGTAAAAAACATGCCACTTCAGGCACTTAACCTCACTGAGACATTGGTAATCACTTTGGGGTATACTGCCAATCATGTATGGGCCACTGCCCATAACCCCCAAAACGAACTGGTGTATGCCTCGCACAAAGCTCTTCAGGCGGCACAACATCGCTACGGAGCCTTTGGAAAACTTCTGTTGGCAGAAAGACTCGTCACATTACTATCCCAGGGGCATGGAACGCTTCGAGCACCTGCTGCTACTCTCTTACCTTTACTGGACGCCACAAAGGTCGATTCACAGTTCCAAGGGGAACCGGCTACTTGGAACGAAATGGTATTGCATTATCACTATCGTTGGTGTTGCTGGAAGTGCGAAGACTTGCCGCCCAGTCCTGACGCAAAAGATAACTCAACGCCCACTCTCTATGGGACCATAGCCCCGGCCTGGATGGCCTCCGACGGTACTATTCGACATGGAGGGGGCTATGGGTTCTATTGCAAACCGTGCCATGACGTGGAATTATACCGCGCTCCAGAAGGAGCCACCGCCCAAAGAAACGAACTCTTGGGTTTTGAAGTTGTCATCCGCCACAGTCTTCAACATCACGACAGGACGCTTCCGACTCCCATCATAGCTATTGATTCCCAGTATGTCTACAAAATTGTTACTGGCGCAGTGACTGCGGTGGAAAACCTAGAGGACTGGGAAAGAATCTGGGACCTGTTATCCCAGTTTATTGTTCTACCGCTTGTAAAGCACACCAAGTCGCATAAACTTGAAACTGATCCTGTACATGAAATCAATCGACAAGCTTCTAGAAGACCCTCTTCGGAGTGATGTTGTCATAGTTGCCAAGGCAGGCGACCCCAAAACGCAGTTCGATCCATTCCTCACGTGGCTGCATGAACACTGGGGACACCCAGGCCCAAGGGTTAGTCACCTACGTTGGCGATCCACCACAGTGACTCCCGCACCCTATGGCACAAGGTCCGACTGGGAACGGGTATCTCAAGCCTGTGAAGCATGCGCCAAGGAAAAATGTCATAAGACGAACCATCAGGCTGGAGCGCTAGACGCACAGCAGTTTGCACCCGGAAAGGTCTGGCAAGTTATCCCCCTGCGAAAAAGCAATGCCGTAGCTATTATATCGGCTTTTACTACAGCAATTGCCAGTTGGAAAACCCCTAACACAATTCAATCAGACGGAGGTCCACCGTTTAATTCCTCAGCGCTCGACAAATTCGCTCACCTCCATAACATCACTTGGCATCTACACTTACCGTACCATCCTCAATCCAATGGAGTAGTAGAAAGGCACATTGGCCTCTACAAAGAGCGATTACGCTTGAAAGGCGGTGGAACCTTCAAAAACTGGACGAAATTGAACAACGATGTCCTTATATCACTGAATGCAGATAAGACATTGTGGGATGAATCCACTTCCTGGGCCCCAAAACCACGGGTCCCAAAATTTGCACCCAACGAATTAGTCTGGATTACCATTCCACATCCACGTCAGCCACATCCACGTATCCACAAAGGAACCGTCGTCCGTCCAGAACAGTATCCAAACACCTACACCGTTACCTTCGTCCATGACAACCGACCAACTACGCTCCTCGCCCATCACAACTGGTTGTCTCGACGCGCAAACTCATATGCAATGACCTCTTAGGTTGTAAATCAGTTACTGTCTTGTCTTTTCTTTTCTTTTTCTTTCAGCTCCAGCTTTCGAGTCGTCCAGCATTTGATGACGTCATGATCCTTTTGTGCCTACTGGTCCTCCTGTGTCGAGCGAGCCCTCTACAGGAGCAAGGTGTCAACCCACCACCAGACGCTGACAGTCCACTGCTGTCCACCAATACCATCCTACTGATGTTGTCTGCTTGGGCTGAAACCATCGGCACCGCCACTAACCACTCTAGCCTTACCGCGTGTCTTCGTCTCCCCCTTTCTGTTTCTGATCCGGTGCTAATCCCCTATCTTGAGCCACTCGACATTTTGGCCTGGTTCCGGGATAGATCCAAAGATGATCCCCCGTCCATCACTGTTCACTATGATTGGGGTTCATCAAAGTGGGTCTCCAGGAATACGACCTATACTTGGCCGTCGGGTATTACATTCGGTCGCCTAAATACGACTGCACGTAATTGTATATCCACGTCCACCGATCACCAGGCAAGCGGTACCGTAACAGGCGATACCATCCCAATTTCTTGTTCTCAAGTCCTGTGGGGCATAAACCCTCGGGGTATGAGTTGGTCCAGGCCTGACAATTCCCTAACCTGGAACCCACAAATCTTAACTCCCCCTTGGTACCTTGAGCTCCCACCTTGTACCGCACCTTGCGCCAATTATTCAAACGATTGTCCGCCCAAACCTGGCCCTTTCCCTCAAGTTACCCTTTCGCCTTTTCGCAGACCCCCATCTTTAGTCACCTGGAATACGTCTTTGGCCGTCAACGTGTCCGAAAACTTAACATGGCATTCCTTTTTCTATCCTATTTTACGTGCAGCATTAATGAGTTCGGCTTGTCATGGTGCAAAACTCATCCCTGATAAACCTTCACGAGCTTGGCAGGCGTATTTCTTTTTGGGCGACTGCACACAGTTGTCTACCCCTGCTCCACTAGGATTGCTTTGGGCCTGCTCTGATGGCCAGCTGTATACCACCTTGCCTGCCACCCTTACCAGTGTCCAGTGTTTTTTAACCCACGTGGCGTTGTGTCCCCCCTTATACGCTGTCGCAGAGCACTGGGGTGCCCTGCTCCTAGAGAGTGGAAACTGCCAGGGAGAGAGCCCTGGCAGGACGTAACGAGCACAGCTGCAGGTTGCCAGGGCAACTGGAGGCAGCGAATGACCCACACCTGACAGCGGTTAGCTGGCTGTAAGGGGCAGGGCCTGGCCCTTATAAAGCCCAGAGCTGAGGCTGCTGGCAGTCCCCTGCCAGCAGCCACAGAGGCAGGAGCTCCTAGAGCTAGGATGCGAGCACTGTAGGAACTGCTCTAGCTGAGTGAAGGAGGGCAGCTCGAAGAGGTTTGAGCACCATGGTTTAGCCAGGCAACGTTGAGTTAAGTTGTGGCCAACAGGCTTGTGTTTGGTTGTGGTTGTTTATTACACCCGTGGTTTGGGTGAGGCTGTAGGGGTTGGAGGAGGCCTCATAGGGGGCTCACGGTAAAGTGGGCCCCCCGCGCCAGTGAGGGCGCACTAGGCCCTGAGAGTTGCAGGGCAGAGTTGTGGGGTCAGTGAAGCTCAGAGAGGAGCGGCTGAACCCCAAGGGACCCACAGGGGTGTGGGGCCCTAGCGCCAGAGGGGGCGCAGCATACTCAGAGGGAACCCCAGCGGCGTGGGAACCCTGGCGCTAGTGAGGGCGCAGTATCCTTAAAGGGGCCTCACGGCGGAGCGTGAGGACCCTGGCGCCCAAGGGGGGTGCAGCAAGCCCCAGAGGGGGGCCATATTATTAGGAGCCCAAGAGTGGGTGTAGCAAGCCCCAGAGAGGGGGCAGTATTGTTGAGGAGCCCTAGCATGGGCACAGTAAGTCCCAGAAAAGGGGGACTATTGAGAAGCCCAGGATGGGCGTAGCAAGCCCGGGTAGTAGGCTAGTGCTGCAATAGACCTCAGACAGGGGCAGGGTGCTGCAGTGGACCCCGATGAAAGGGGTTAGCAGTACAGAGCCCAGGAGAAGGGCAAAGTGTGGCGGTGGTCCCCGGCAAAAGGGGATAGCAGCACGGTGCGCCCGGAGGAGGGAGGTTAGCAGTGCGGTGGGCCTAAGAGATCGGAGGGCTTGGTAATAAGTCCCAGAGCGGACAAGGGTCTCGGAAAGGGACGACACTTTAGAGAAGGCCTAAAGTCGGCCTCGAGAGCCCCAAGAGAGGGGCAGTATACTAGAGAGAGCCCAGAGTGGGGACAGGGAGGGGGCGCTTCCATAGAGCGTACGGAGTAGGCCTGAGGGAGCGGGCGAGTTGATTGGCGACAGGACAACGTCCAGAACATCTGCGAGGCTTGGGGCGTGGTATTAGGGGTTGGTAAGAGCCACGCGTGGCCCTAAGGCTAGGGTGCCCAGGGAGCACCCGTCGTACAGGGAGACCCCCAGGGGGGTCCAGGAGAACACGGAGACCACGGGGACGGAGGTCCCGATTAGCCGTGCCCAAGGAGGTGTAAGGCAGCCTCCCGAACTTACTGAACATCAAAGACGTGGCGGGCGAGAATAAGAGGGTGCCCTTGGGCCGGACTTGACACGGTGAGAGGGACCTCAGGGAGATCACGGCCCTCCTGTGGGACTCCGCCGTGACATATGCATTTACCCTACAGTATTTCGATTCGCCGTCACCAAGTTACCCGTGAACCCTACCAGCACCAGGACACTTGGAGCCAACTACCCTGGCACAAACGTTTATGGGAAACCTTAAAATGGGGGGCGGAATCCCTCATTCCCGGATATGGGGGAACCAAGGTCCGCCTAGCCCTTGTTCAACTCATCGAACAAGTAGAAGAACTCACCAAGACGACCCGCACAGCGATACAACTTCTTGACCTCCAGCTACAAGCTACCTCCCAAATGACTTTACAAAACCGCTTAGCATTAGATGCCATTCTTCTTCAACAAGGTGGACTTTGTCAATACCTTAATCTTTCTCATGACCATTGTTGTATTGCCATTCCCAATGTTTCCCTTCCCTTATCTCTACAGATCGACAAAATGAAGAAAATTGCAGAAAATGTCAACCGCCTCTCGGGTATAGGCCAAGGCTGGCTTTCTGACCTTTTCCGTTGGTTTGGGTGGGACACGTCATCATGGCTCCTCAACTTGCTAATACCCCTCATTACGCTTTTGTTACCGATTGCTGTATTTGTGTGTTTTAGTTGTTGGATTTTACAGTATCTCAAACAAAGTTAACCACGCTTTCTGCTTTTGTATACACTCGCTTGCCAAACACTACTAATGATAACGAAAATGGTCTATACGTAAACATGATGTAATGACTTGCTGTGCCATGGGCAAGGGGGCATGTCACAACCCAATTAAGTAGTGCCCATGTCACAAGCATTATCACACGTACCATTCGAAGCAGTTTTATTTTGCACTAGGTTAACTAAGGGTTAACAAGATGATAGTAACAGCCTTCTTTGCTGTGCATGCCAAAAAGAAATTTATAACTGCGCCACTAACAGAAAATCTTGCTTTCTATGCTTTACATAAATCATTATAATTGGTCCGAGTGACAGGGGAGTAGCCCTGCATAAAACACCCTAGCGAAAAACCGCTAGGTAATTGGCAATTCTAATTAAATTTATGACGTGGCAAAAAGCAATTGGCTATTATACAAATAAAACCCGCTTGTACTTCCGCGTAGTCGGAGACCTCCGTACGCACCTTGGAGACCTCTGAACATACGTGTCAGAGTAAACTGGCGATCCGATCAGTTGCCAGTTCGTCCCCCCGTCTTCGACCCTACCTCAGACGTAATCGACGACTGCCGGCCCGACCAATTCTGCCCGACCACTTTTGCAAACCGACCTACTTTGCAGACCGACCTACTGAACTCTAAGCTGTAACTAACTAAGTATCTCTGACCTCCGTCATTCACCACCGTGACGGTGTAAGTAAACAATCTTGCTTTGCAACCGATAAGCGT